TCACAAACAGCCCTAGAGTTCGTACTAGAATTACACCTTAAGATACAAATCAACCAAAACCCTAATGTCACCTAGATACTCCAATGTCACCTCATGTATCCGTGGGCATGATTATACGATATGCATCACACAATCTTAGATTCATCTATTCAACCAACACAAAAGACCTCAAAGAGTGCCCCAAAGTTCTACCAGAGAATCACGACAAAAACGTGTGCCAACCCCTATGCATAGGTTCATGGGCGGAACCCGCAAGTTGATCACCAAAACATACATCAAGTGAATCACGTGATATCCCATTGTCACCACAGATATCCACGGCAAGACATACATCAAGTGTTCTCAAATCTTTAAAGACTCAATCCGATAAGATTACTTCAAAGGGGAAACTCGATTCATTACAAGAGAGAAGAGGGGGGGAAGAAACATCATAGGATCCAAATATAATAGCAAATCTCGCGATACATCAAGATCATATCATCTCAAGAACACGAGAGAGAGAGAGAGATCAAACACAAAGCTACTGGTACATACCCTCAGCCCTGAGGCAGAACTACTCCCTCCTCATCATGGGGAGCAACGGGATGATGAAGATGGCCACCGGAGAAGGATTGCCCCCTCCGACAGAGTGCCGGAAGGGGTCTAGATTGGTTTTCGGTGGCTACGGAGGCTTCTGGCCGCAGAACTCCCGATCTATTATGCTCACGGATGTTTTTAGGGTATATGGAGATATATAGGCAGAAGAAGTACGTCAGGGGGGCCACGAGGGGCTCACGAGGGTGGTGGGCGCGCCCAGGGGGGGTGGGCGCGCCCCCTGCCTCGTGACCTCCTCGTAGGTTCCTCGACGTGCACTCCAAGTCTTCTGGGCTTCTTTCCTTCAAAAAATGAGTTCCGTGAAGTTTCAGATCAATTGGATTCCGTTTGATTTTGCTTTTCTTCAAAACACTAAAATAGGGTAAAAACAGAAACTGGCACTAGGCTCTGGGTTAATAGGTTAGTCCCAAAAATGATATAAAAGTGTATAATAAAGCCCATAAACATTAAAAACAGTAGATAATATAGCATGGAGAAATCAATAATTATAGATACATTAGAGACGTATCAACCTGCCGGTGGATTCCATCTCCTCTTGGTCGGACCTGTGCCACGAGTTTGTTGGCGCCTTTACCGGAGGCCATCAAACTCCTGGCCAGGCAAGTGATTTGCATCTCATCCCCCAAAAGGATGGCGAATCCTTGCGCAAGTACATTCAGATATTTAGCCATGTGCAGTACACCATCCCAGATGTTCATCCTCTCACTGTCATTAGCGCGTTCCATCAGAACATGCGCAACCACAAGATGCATGAAGAGCTGGCCATGAACAAGGTTAGGGATGTTGCCGAACTGTATGTTTTGGCCGACAGATGTGCTCGTGCTGAAGAAGGAAGGAAGTACCCCAGCACAGATGCCAGCACGGGAAGCGATTCTGGAGACGAACACGCCTCGCCCCGGCAAGGAAGGGCCGACGGTGTAATAGGAAGCGCAGGGGCAAGACCTTGCTTGCCGTCAAGGAATCCGGCAACCCCGACATCACCAAGAAGGCCAAGGTCGACAACCCTGGCAAAGAGGTTGCCGGGTGTGCCGCCTGCCAGGCCTTCGCGGCCGCCAACAATCCGAAGGGCTCCGACAAGCAATACTGCAAGATCCATCGCACCAAAGGCCATGATGTCCAAAACTACCGGCAAGTTGAGCAACTTGTGGAGAGGTAGAAAGCTGAGTATGAAAGACGGGATAAGGAGAAGGGCTAGGATGGTGCTAAGGGCTCCGGCAGGAAGCGTGGTGGCCGAGAGGGTCGACACAGCAAGGAAAAGCAGCAAGAGAGGCCTACTCGAGGCCGCGACAAGAAAGAGGGGGATGATGACTGCGAAGAGGAAGATGAGTCTAGTGACCAAGAATTTCAGAAGGCCACAGAAGCCATGTGCATCGATGGTGGCACCTCATTGCATTCTTCTCACCGCCAGCTTAAACAGTGGGCACGCGAGATCAATGCGACAAAGCCATCGATCGACACCCAGAAGGCACTGAAATGGTCCAACACGCCTATGATTTTCGATGCTGAGGATCACCTTGATCCCACAACCGCGGTCGGGTGCTTGCCATTGTTGGTTTCGCCAAAAATTCGCAACCTCAAGGTGACGAAAATTCTAGTGGACGGTTGGGCCAGTCTGAACTTGATCTCGCCACAAGTGATTAAGAGGGTGCAAATTCCCAAGGGAGATCTCGAGGAGCTGGGCACTTTTCAAGGTATCAACCTAGGGAGAAGCCAGCCCAAGGGTAAGCTCACATTACCAGTTATGTTTTTGTGGCGAGCTAAACTACAGGATAGAGAAGATCATTTTTGATGTAGCCAAGATCCCGTTGCCATATAATGGGATCCTTGGCCATCCAGCACTGGCCAAATTTATATAGAATTCCTTATTTAGCCCTTTCTTAAATTTTGGTTCCCTTTTTGGCCCTAAAAATTTATTTTTTCCTTCTTTGACACCCTAACTTTATTTTTCTTCCTTCCATGACACTTCTGTCGCTCTTTGCCGTTAACACTGTCAACTATGATAGGAAAAGTCGTTTTTACCCCTTCTTCATAGCACGCTAAAAAAAGAAAAACGAACCCCCCTTCCGGCCCCGATTCCCCTTCTCCTCCCCGAGACCTAAACCTAGCGCTGCACCTAGTGGCGGCGGCGCGAGCGAGGCACCCAGCGGTGGCGGCGCTAGCGAGGCACCCAGCGGCGACGCATGGAGGAGGGCGAGGTGGAAGAGGGCCATGCGCGAGG